GAAGATCGAGACAAGTGATTTTTAGCGAGTGCTCTGTTTTGTCAAAGGTATAAACTAAGTTTCTTTAAATACTCCTGATTGAATCTAATTTAATTGAATCTAATGCGTAACAATGGCAGCGATTTGTCACGCTTCGAAAAGCTCCTGCTATTGGCTGTGACTTTGTTGGCTCTGTATCGCGTTTTTTATGTTGACAGAAATCTACTTACCAAGAAACGTACTGGAAACCTGGAAGCACCGAGAGACGAAAAATATAACCAGTTATCGGACGGAATTTGGATCTCAACCTGAAAGAACACAGAGTCAAAGGCCACTTTGCCGTGGAAAACGAATTCTTCTTTTTCGAGTGCGCCACTCAACCGATGAGCGGAGCTGGTTTAACATCCAATGACTATAACGTTGTGCAGATATTCAACTTAATTCAGGCCCGATTAAGTTTCTCTGTAACGAAGGTGAGAAGAGCGTTCGAAACAATCAGAATGCGATTTTATGCTCTGAATGTGGTCTATGGATTCACGCAAAGTGCCTCAACATGTCGACATCGACTTTTAAATATTTTCTTGAACGACCAGCAATCTATTTTGAATGGACTTGTCTGCTATGTTCTCTACCGAGATTGAAGGACTAATTTTTCCTTAAGAATGAAGAAATAACAACAATCGAAGGAAAGTACACAAATCAGCTTCTACAACCTAATGCAAGTGAGATGAAGAACACACAATTTCACTCCCAGGAGAATATGGCAATTAACAACTGCGGCCTACAGGAATTTGATCTCCTCTTGCAAGAAAGGCAGGAACATTTCAATCGGATACTAATGTTCCATCTATACATCAACAGCCTCCAAAATAAATTTGATGGACTGAAACTCCTAAATGATGAGACGAAGTCGCAAATCATTTTTCTCTCAGAGATAAAGATCGACAAGTCCCAAATATGCACAATTGTTTGCCCAAAACCGAACTCGAGAAAACTGGGAGTTAAAAAGGAAATGGCCAAATTTGGCCATTAGAGGAGACGTGCTATCAAAGCTCACTGGGCCCAAAAATCAGATGGACTGAGGAGGAGACCATGGGATTTCTACAAAAAGTTTAAACCTTTCTTAAGTGACAACAGCAAAGAGGAGACAAAAATTGCCATTAGGATTAACGAGCGAATTGTAACAAACCAGAAAGTAGTGGCAGACGAGCATGGAGACTACTTTTCAAATGCCATTGATAGTGCAAAGGTAACGAATTTAGTTGAGAAAGACTTTGAAAAACACCCGAGTGTCGAGAGCATTCGGCAAGCTTATCAAGGCCTTCAATATGGATTTAACGAAATTGGCTCTGGTGAAGTGGAAAACGAACTGAAAATGATTAAATCAAACAAAGCCATACGGTGGGATGTTAACTTCCAAAGGTCTAGTACCCTCCTTAACAAGTCTCTAAAACACCGTTTATAGAGAGGGAAATCGGCCAAACACGTGGAAAATGAGTTTTCTTTTCCAGAAAGGAGATAAAACCAACCGGGGAAATTACCGACCTACAACAGTTCTGAACTCTATTGATAAAGTATCCGAATCATTACCTTCCAATCAAATCACGAAAACCATGGATCCAGATCTATAACAGAAAATGTCCGCCTACAGAAAAACACATAGCTGTGAAACAACTTAATATGGCTAACAGAAGACTGGAAAATGGCTACAGATAATAAAGGTTACGTGACTGTTCTATCCACTGATATTAGCAAAGCTTTTGATTCGCTGCACCCCGCACTAATGGTTCAGAAACCTCAAAGCATACTGCTTTTCCGAAGCATCACAGAATCTTATGCGATCCTTTCTTGAGCATAAAAGAAACAGAGTCAAACTACAGGAAGCGCGCAGCGCATGGAAAGAACAAAAAAGGGGGTGTCCACGAGGCTCCTCCTTCGGGCCTTTACTCTTGAACTTGTTCCCAAATAATCTCTCACTACATAGGCAGTCTGCTAATCTATTTACGTTTGCTGATGACCATCAAATATACACTGGTGATATACTGAAGGCCAGCCAAACTCGCACGAGACAAACAGAGGCAGTGTCACAATGGTACAAGGAAAACCTACCGCAAGCCAATCCTCAGAAATACCAGATCCTTACTATAGATCTACATCCTTCCAAGAAAACCCCTGGATATGAATTGACGATGAAATTCGATGGAAACGAAGTTAAATCAATTGATTATCTCAAAATTCTTGGCGTAACCATCGACAACAAACTGACATTTAGTTAACATATCAGTAATATTTGCAAGAAAACGAGCTGTAAAGGTTGGGGTGTTACTGGGACTACTTAAGTTAATCCCATGGTCTGAAGAGTTACAGCTGTGTCTGTCTTATATTTCGCCCCACTTTACATATTGTGATATTGTATGGCACTTTTGCAAATCATCCGATGGGAAGAGAATGGAAAGAATTCAAGAGCGGGCACTCAGGGCAGTCTTTGAATCCAAATCGGAGACCTACAGCGAGCTACTAA